CTGTTTATTATTATTTCAAGCTTTTTCAATGAGGAAATCTCTCTCTCTCTCTCTCTCTCTCTCTCTCTCTCTCTCTCTCTCTCTCTCTCTCTCTCTCTCTCTCTCTCTCTCACACACACACACACACACACACACACACACACACACACACACACACACACCCCATGTCTCCAACCGAAGCCTGACACTTCTAATTGGCAGATATTTATCCAGGAGCCGAGAGGCATCGAGCTGTTTTCACATGGGATTAACCCGGGTCCAAATCTTAGCTCACTTCATTGAGAGCACCACAACACTCCAAAAGCATCATTTGGTCAAGGTTGGCCCCTGCTGGCCTGTTTATCCAGTATGACTCCCACTCTGCTGATCTCCTGCAGATCTCGCGTTCATTGTTTGAAAGATATTAAAAAATATATAGCCTATATACAGTATATGTGGCTTATCTTTTGCACGTGATGTCAATGAGCATTGATTGTGAAACAGATCTGTAACGAACAGCGGTAAAGACACATGTAAAAAAAAAAATATTTCAGCATTTTATTTTTATGTCTTCCAATGGTGAAACAGCCACGCTTAATGTCCTATTTTAAAATTTTGGGTATTCAAAGTAAAGGCAAATATCGAGTCAATGGACTGAAATACATGAGCCAATGACATCAGTGAGGCTGCCGTGCCACCCATATTGTTTCACTGCGTAAAAATTATAAGCAAAAGACCTTGCGTTAAATAATGTAGCAGTCAAAGGTGTACTGCTTATGAACAATTAACTCCACATGTAAGACAGAATTTTGAATTTTGGTTTTGTGCACATTTGCAAGTGCAAACCTTTGGAATTGAATTGAATTGAATAGAACACAACTTTATTGTCAAGTGTGCTGTATATGTGTAACATACAGCACAGATGAAATTTCTTCCCTCTCGACATAAAACAAGAGGAGCCGCTGCGAGTGTCTGGGCCACCATCTGTCAACGAATTCAAATAGGCATGAATAATGTTATCAGTATTATTGAGAAGCGACTGGATGATGTTTCTTTACTAGTATAGGATAGATAGTATGGTAGAGTAAATTAAACAAACAAATGACCGGATGATGTTTCTTTACTAGTATAGGATAGAATCTATCCTATCCGATAGATAGTATGGTAGAGTAAATTAAACAAACAAATAAACAACAACAACAAAAAAAACATTCAGCCTATATATCCAGGTATTTACATTTGCATTACAAAAAAATCAGCCTTATTTGTAACAAAACACAACATTTTTTCGGTGAGCAAAAATATATCAACAACAACAAAAAAAAAATCAAAGCGACCAAGACATTACACCTGAAATTGACTTGGCCAGTTAAAAACCTTTCAGTGGTTTGTCAAATATATAAAGAAACCTTCAATCCTGCCCTCTGGAGGTTGTTGCTGATGTGTGAAATCAGTAACAGTAGTTTTTGGGTCAATCTTGCCAGCTCTCACAATACTTCTGCTCTCAGCTGCGGCTGTTTTCTTTCATCTACTTGTTCTCTTTTTAACACGTTGATTACACAACTAACTAGTATTAATGTAGTCTTCAAAAAAACAAATCCTAAAAATAGAGAAGAGGCTTAAGTGTGATTTCTGTCAGTCACATGTTCCAGAGCTTTTGCTCATATGAAATAAGCCAGAAAAGTTGTTTTCCAACAAATGTGGTTTCTTATCCATCTAAATTGGGACTCAAATCTTGACATAAATAACTGGAAATATAAGATGAACTACTGAACTTGTATTTATCTATTGATGTCAAATCCAAATGTTTGGAATTGGTCCAATACTTTGAGAGAAGAGTATGTATACTAACCACTCCTTCGCCACCTTCTTAAAAGGCACTTTGGGATAACCTAATGTGACCAAACACAAGCTGGATCAAAAATAGGCTTCTAAAAAAATAATAACAATCATTTAAAGCAGGGGTGTCAAACATACGGCCGGCGGGCCGGAACCGGCCCGCAAGGAGGTTTGATCAAGCCCGCAGGATAATTTAAAAGTGAAAAAAATGCATAAAAAACACGGAATTCATATTTTTAATACGGTGCAATTCATAGAGTATCCGCTAGGGGGACACACTGTTTTAATCCGAGTAAAAGACAACATTGTTTTGATCAGAGAAGAAGACAACAGCAGCCTCAGTCTGTCACTGAGACAGACCCAACACAGGAGACGCTGTCAAGGACGTGAATACTTTATTCTTTACACATTTAATAGCACTCTCTTTAGTTTGTAAGGTGTAGGCAGGGATTACATTTAGATTTTCTCTGCACGTGTAAATGGTTTAAACATTCTTTATAAATCTCGTTTAATATTAAAAGTGCATTACTATATTTTTCAATACCAATTACTTGTTCAAGTTGTGTGCCTTTGTACAATCAATGGGATCAGTTGCAATACATCTATGTGAATGATAAAAGTAAATTGCACATTTGTCTAAGGAAATCTAAGGAGCTTCATGTTTTGTAAAAGATCTGTTTATTAAATGTCAACATTTTCCTAATGTTCTTGTGCTTCTTTAGACCAAAACAAAGGAAATATATTATTTTGGTTATTTATAGCAGAGTATGGTATAATTTTAATGGTCCGGCCCACTTTACATCTACCGAGGCCGTATGTGGCCCACAATGTGACATGAGTTTGACACCCCTGATTTAAAGTGACACTTTGAAAAATGTGCTGACTTAACATCTTTATTATTTTGGGTGCACTGTATGTATTTGTTTGGTAAAATGTTCTTTATGTTACAGGCTACACGAATGCACTTTTACTTTAATACCTTAGCAATCAAAGCTGAAAATGATTGTCTTTTGAAATGCGGAATATTTGATACTGCTGCGGCGATGTGTGTCTTATACATGTTTTATTGTTTGCATGATTTAAGATTATTCAGTCAGGTACTCCTTTGAGTTTTACAATTAAACTTAAAATAAAAAATAAATAATCTACTTTTCTCCCAGTACAGTAGATGTTCCCACATTCAGTGGCACTGGAATGACATCTATTGGGCATATTTGGAATGTACAAAAATCTGAAGTTCCAAGGTATTGAGGCATCTTTCACCAAGCTTCTTCTGTCATGAACAAGGAAAAAAAACCTCAGTGAATTAGTTTTCCCCCCACATTTTACATTCAATATTATTATGATTGTTATTATTATTATTGTAATTATTATTATTATTAGGGGCAGTGTGAAAGAAGAAGCTTTCGAGATATTTTCAATAAAAAAAAAAATACCTCCTCCTCCTCCCTAAGATTTCACCTTATTATGGTGGAGGGTTTTGAGTTCTGAGGAGCTAAATTGCCAGGGGGTGCTGTATGCCCATGATAAGAGTCACCCAGGGCAGAGAGGTCCTAGATGAGGCACCCAAGAAATCACAGCTCTGAAACTCCCATGACATAAAGTCCATAATGTAATGGGATGGGGTGTGAGTTAGTTGCAAGGCATAGCTAACTTCCACATCCGTAGTTCGCAGACCTGAGGCACTGGACAGGGACGGAGGAGCTCAGAGTGGTATAGTGGGGCGAGGCCATTGAAAGATTTGAAAATTTAAAAAGAACTCTGAATGTATCGTGAGCCAGTTGAAAGGACGCCCGAGTAGGAGCTATGTCCCCCGTCTTCCGAGTACCAGTCAAGAGGCGAGCAGCAGAATTTTGGACCACCTGGAAAAGCTTGATGGAGGACTGTCTGACTCCAAAATAAAGTGCATAATTGTAATTTAGCCAAGATGTGACAAAGACATGAATTACTGTTTCACAGTGCTGTTAAGAAAGCTTTACTCTAGCCAGCTGCCTAAGATGAAAGAAGCTGGATGTAACAACAACACCAATTTGCTGGTCCAATTTAAAATCACTGTCCAGTTTAAGACCCCAGTTTGAGACTGTTGGCTTTAGATATGAAGCCAGGAGTCCCAAGTTAACAGGATGGGTTGCAATGTTCCTTCTAATTTTCCATGCCTCTGATGATTCACACAAACATCCCGGAGCATTCCTTGGACCACGGTGAGCAACATCAGACATGCACACGGCGACCAAACCCCCCATCACAACTGTTTAAAACCTGCAATCAAAACAAGCTAAGTGATTTAGTATGTTATGAAAAAATTCAAATGACCTTTATTTCAAAACAGAACATAATTGAATGGACATTTATGAAACAAATAAAACTGGCCAGATTTTGTTGCTTTTATTGAAGCACACAGGTTATTTTAAGCATACTTAATTAAGCTAGTCTGTAATAACTATGGGTGGTTAGCACGTCGGTTTCACAGTGCAGAGGTGCAGGGTTCGATTCTGGCTCCGGCCTCCCTGTGTGGAGTTTGCATGTTCTCCCCGTGCCTGCCTGGGTTTTCTCCGGGCACATCGGTTTCCTCCCACATTCCAAAAACATGCGTAGCAGTTAATGAAACACCCGAAATTGTCCCTAGGTGTGAGTGTGAGCGCGGATCGTTGTTTATCAATATGTGCTCTGCGAATGGCTGGCAACCGGTTCAGGGTGTCCCCCGCCTGCAGCCCGAAGACAGCTGGGATGGAGGGATTTTTGGCACCAAAATTGAAAGCCTTCCCATTCAACACTTGAACCATACCACCACAAGTTCCATGGAAACACATAATTCTACCAACAAACCAAAGGATAGGATGTTCTGTGTTTGTAATTTCTCCTTGACTTATAGTTGTTTATCTTAGAAGTACAAGCTCTTGTGGTGAAAACCCCCTCATGCATTTTCCAAGGCTGCCTTTTCTGTGAACTTGATGCTTCATCAACAACTGACTGTACACAAGCAAATGAGCTTCTATGGCATACAGTGCATCCAGATTGATGCAATACTATGTTACGTGTTTTATTATGTACGTTTTTGGGTCGGGCGCGCTCACTGCAGGTTTCTCCACTTCACACTGATTACCGTGACCCAAAGGAGAAGGGTGAAACATGTATCAAGCCCATGAATAATTACGTTGTATAAGTTGACCAGTTTTTCTGCCATCTGCCCGTTTCCCATGAGCTCATGTGAACTAATGCACCCGGCTGCACAATTTAAAGCAGCCCAGATTGAAGATAGTGTTGTTTTGCAGTCTTCTTGCCTGACTTTACGGTAAATGAATTCCATCATTATGCATTGCTGCATCACTTTCTTACTTTTTTGGAAATAAATAACAAAATAATCTCCTGTCAATTTAATGTTAGATGTCGCCATTGTGGAGTTTAAGTCTGCTCTGCTTACTTGCTGGTGCATCTTATGGTAAGTTATCTCTTGATTTTACAAGCCAGAAACATATATGATGTTTTTGTTTGTTTATAGCACAGGTGGATAGTAAGTTAGTGTGTTTTTTTTAAAGAAATTGAAAATGTGTTGATTCACTGCACATAAATCAAAGGTAAAGAATATTATATTTTTCAGCCGACTTTTGAAATTGATTTATTATTATTATTATTATTTTATCATTGGATTGTTTGTAACCTTGCGACATTGTTGTAGTGGATTTGGTGCAGAGGGTCAACAAGGTGGTGCTCATGGGCACCGGGTAGCCCCCAAGGACTGCATGACTGGCCCATGAGCCGCTTCCAAAAATAGCTCACCTCAATGGGACATTGTGAATTTCTAGGAATGTTGCAAAAGCGATCATTTGAAAATGTGGACACTGACAAAGATTTATAGCAATAAAGTGTTGCATGTTGATACGTCTCTGTTTCCTTTTTATTGTGCGAAATCATTGACATGATCAGTGTCTTCGCATAAATTAACATAATTAATGATGACTACCATTATTAAAGGGAATTTCAGCAGTTTTTGGGTTTAGAAGTGTTCACTCCTTCATCATTACCCAATAATTTGCTCTCAGTTATCCTTAAGTAACTCCGCTGAGTATGTTATTGTCGATGACGGGTGTCCAACTCAAGGCCCGAGGGCCAGATTCAGCCCGCCATGTCATTTTATGCAGCCCGCTAAAGCAAATTGTGGGTGTCAACTTCCATGATGCTTGCTAAAATCTGTACCGAAATGCCAAATTGTCATGTGTAACAAATAATGTTGAGAATTTATAATCATTTTCCTACCCTGTTTACACTCACTCGAACAATAATTGAACAGGCAACAAACAAATAGTTGACTGATTTCAAAACTAGTCACCGATCAATTTTTTTGGTGTGTGTGTGTGTGTGTGTGTGTGTGTGTGTGTGTGTGTGTGTGTGTATACAAGTAATAATACGATGGGTGATGAAACGTTAATTCACTTTTTGTCATCACAGCCCTCCGAGGGACGACGTAACTCCAAAGTGTCCCGCGACAAAAATGAGTTTGACACCACTGTTGTAGATTATTCTACCTAACAACTAGTCAGTGATGTAGTCTTCCTTTTGACTAAAGTTGGATGGAATAGGACTGTGCCCCTGATAAACCAAAACAGACTGAGGGTTATAGAAAACGGATGCTTAGATGGTCTACTGAGGGCCAGAAACGGACTCCCGCATGCTGTTAAATTTCTGATGTAGCTGCTTGTGCTCCATATGTGTAGCTGCCGAGGTCTGTCTCGGGGAGCTTGGTTGCTTTAATGACCAGCCTCCATGGGGGGGAACCACCCAAAGACCTGCCAGTGTCCTCCCGTGGGCTGCTGAGAAGTTAGGCACCCGCTTCCTTCTCTTCACCCAAAGAAACCGTTACTACCAGGCAAGAAGGCGCTCCTCTTCATTTTAATTCCTTTCTCTTTTGATAATATGACAACATGATTCCTTTACCAAGTTACCAGCCCTGAAGCAGTTTGCTTAGTTGTCACTGAACCTTCCAGGAGATTAAGACTGACTCAAACATCCATGCGTCAAACTACGGTGGTATGAGAAAGACTCGATTCATCATTCCTGGTTATCTGCATAAAGGAGATGAGGACTGGCCACAAGAGATGTGCAAGGTTAGAAAAGTGCTCGAGTCACCCAGTTGGGCCTTGGATTTCACTGCATGCTAATCAGCTTAAATATATGCCGTTTGAAATTGAGTTTACATGAAAAAGTTGTAATATATTAGATGAGAATAAAGTCAAAATATTTTTACATAAAAATCTTGATAAGATGGGACATGAGCTTGATAATTAAACTAACCCACCATAGAGATTTCTTAAGAACACCATTAAAATATTTCTTTTATTTCCTAATGTTCTCTGAATTTAATTGAATGTGAAACGGTGTCATTATATATATAAAAAAAGCATGTTTTCCAAGGCTATTTTTATACAAATAAATCTCCACAAGTGTTTTACATCATATTTCAGTTGGCTATGTCCATAATTTGGCAGGTCTCGAGAGGAAAACAACAGCTGCTAGTCTCAGAATGATGCACTTACCATTGTGATGGAATTCTACATCCATGTGTTTCAATTACGACTATTCCCATAACATATTGACGTTTCGAGGGTGCGGGGGGGAGGAATTATTCCTTTTGCTAAATAAAACTAGTGCACTGTTCAAGTGAAAAGCTCAACTTTGGGTGTATGAGCTCACTTTCCAAAACTGCACTCTGTATTCAGATTTTAAAATTAGATTCAGGTTTTTAAAACGGAAAATACAGCACAAAGCAGCAGTAGTAAAGTGCAGTTTGTCACTTATGGAAATCTTCTCATGATATGATGTGATTTTATCTACTGGCCTTTAAAGCATGAATCATTGCACTGGTAGTGAAATGGTGCATGCCTTTTGTGCAGACTCTGCAAAAAGATTGGTTGTGTCGTTTCAGTGAACCAACCCCCTTTCATACCTAAAAGTAAAATTTTAATATCGCTTGAGGAAAATGACAACTTCCTTCCAATATCCAGGTTATGCTGAAGTGGGAGAATGTGAACTGCATCGCTGTGGAGTGGAAAAAGGGCGTGGGGACTCGGTATGCTCAGGCTGCCAATAATGGCAGAGTGCTGGCTGCACAGGTGGCATTCATGATGACATTTCTCACGGTACATTCTCTGACCCTTCACACTCACAAACTGCACAAACTATTATTCTGAGAAATGATTTTCCATGGAAAATTTAAGGGGAGATGTGAACATGAACTAAATGAATGAAACATTGGAAAAGCACAAGACAAAGATATTTTTGGAATAGTACGACAATGTCAGATAAACAAAACAGCATATGCAATGAAAAAATAACATGAATCAAAACATGACAGAAGACATCCAATCAAACCGAATCATTTCCATCCATCCATCCATTTTCTCATCCGCTTATCCTCACGAGGGTCGCGGCCGTACTGGAGCCTATCCCAGCTGTCTTTGGGCAGTACGCAGTGGATACCCTGAAACGGTTGCCAGCCAATCTCAGGCCGCACATAGACAAACAACCATTCACATTCATAATCACACCAAGGAACGATTTAGGGTACTGTATTTTCCGCACTATAAGGCGCACCAAAAAGTCTTCCATTTTCTTAAAAGCTCACGGGGCGCCTTAAAATTCGGTGCGCCTTGTGTATGGCCATTATGGTAATATGTCAACCTCAAGATGGCTCCTTGCTGGAGAAATGCTTACAATGTTATAACTTCCTGTTGGTTCAGTGAACTGTGTCACTGCTTTATTAAATAAGTTTTTGTTGCAGCTCCGATAAAAGGAGAGCTGTGGTGTTGTTTTTTTTTTTTTTAAAACGCACACTTTATTATTGGTTTTCACAGTCTCAACAAATACAGGTACGTCTTTGTCTGTCTCCGTTGCCTTCTCTTCTTCGTTCGACTCAAGAGGCGTTCATGACCGCCTCAAAAAACGTAAATTAACTATTCCTTCAATGAAACTACGAAAATTGAAAATAATGCATCAACACAGAAAATCAAGCGAGGAAATCACAAAATAAATTCTATTGCCCCACTACAGAATTTATTTTGTGATTTCCTAGTTTGTGAGGACAGTACACAACAAAGGTATAAATAACAAACACTTCTGAGACAGTTCAGTTTCCTACATTTTACTGACATCTGATCGTTCTGTTGCGGCTATGCTCAAGGAAATGCTGGATGGTGGCTTGTCATCAGGAGTTGAATCGATGCCTTGTTTTTTAAAGTTTCGTAGATTTGCGTCTTTCCAACTCCAAGTGTCTGCTGGATGTTTTTAACTTTGTGTCCAGCCTCGCTCAAACGGATGCATTTCACTCGCTCCGCTCCAGTCATTACAGTTCTTCTACGTTTCGATGCCATGATCTACACGACGTAAGTGAATAAAGTTAAAATCTTTCGCAATTACAGTAAAACGCACCCCAATAAAAAGTCACTTACACGTCTTTGTTTCGAATCTGATGAATGAAAACGGCGAAGCGAACACGTTTCTTCGGTCGTGTCGAGTGGGTGCTGCTTTTAAGCTAGTACCGCGTTCTACAGGACGTAGGTGAATAAAATTAAAATCATTCACAATTACAGTAAAACGCACGGCAATAAAAACTCACTTACACGTTGTCGTTTCGAATCTGATGATCGAAAAACGCAAAGTGAAAATGTGTCTCAGTGTCGTGTCTTTTCCGTCGCATCGGGTGGGCGTTGCATGTATTTAAGCTCCCGCGGCATTACGCCTCCATCCGGGTTACGGCTAGTGGAATTTCCGCTTACGTAAGTTCCGGTAACATGTAATATCGTAGTCAAAATGTTAATGCATAGGTTTTTATTACGGGTGAAGGACATTCCTTTTCATTGAATCCCGGGGATGGGAATATTTACTGGACTGTATTTTCAATTTTCATAGTTTCATTGAAGTAATCATTGATTTACATTTTTTTGGAGGCGGTCATGAACGCCTCTCGAGTCTTACGGAAGAAGAGAAGGCACAGAGACGACAAAGACGTACCTGTAGCTCCATCTAGTGGATGCATTGTAGATTGCGCCTTATAGTCCAGTGCGTGCAATATATGAAAAAAATTACAAAATAGGCCATCCATTGAAGGTGAGCCTCATAATCCAGTGCGCCTTTTAGTGCGGAAAATACGGTATTCAATTAACCTACCATGTTGCATGTTTTTGGAGTGTGGGAGGAAACTGGAGAAAGGCAGACTATACCCTGAAGTGGTCACCAGTCAGTCGCAGGGTGTGCAGAGACAAACAACCATTCACACCCTCATTCACACCGTCACGCTGCCCCATGGCGGCATGGGTTTTATCCGGGTGCTCCAGTTTCCTCCCACATCCCCAAAACATGCATGGCAGGCTGATTGAACCCTCAAAATTGTCCCTAGGTGTGAGTGTGAGTATGAATGGTTGTTTGTCTATGTGTTCCTTGTGATTAGCTGGCACTCAGTTCACGGTGTACTCCGCCTAAGCTCCAGGTTGTCCCTCGTGAGTATACAGCAGTTCAGATAACGTGTGTGTGTGTGTGTGTGTGTGTGTGTGTGTGTATACAGTGTGTGTGTAAATATATATTACACACACACACACACACACACACACACACACACACACACACACATTACTCACAAAAAGTGGGGGAGATTTGGCTTTCAGGTGGCATTTCAGGACGAATATAAAATGCATTCAAATCTTTACAGGTGAACTTAATGTGACCTTCTCTAAGCTTTTGGATGCATTGAATGTTCAACTGTTAAATGTTTCCGTACTTTTGGCACAAGTTGCTGTTCTCTCTGTTCATGGCAAAATTCACAACAGGTGTTTCATCCTTGAATCAACCAATAAAAGTTCTGGTTCAACTAGAGCTGGTGTTTAACCAGTCGCTGTCATCATGCTGTTCCCATTTTGACGTCATAAGACCAAGACGACACCTAACAATGGATCAACAGTACCTTGACATTGTGATGCTTCCAACAGAACGTTCTCAGACGGAAGTGTCACAGAGTGCCATTAGCCGGTTGCAACAGAGATACAGAAAGACTGGAAGAGTCACAGAAAGATGTAGAAGTGGACATCCTTTGGCTACATCCTGCGCTACATTGTGCACAATGCCCTGAGAAACCGGATGATGAATGCCACTCAACTCCAGGGTTGTGAGAGGCACCGAAGTTTCACGTCAGACCATTCAAAACCATTTACATCAGCGTGGTCTGCGTTCTAGACGACCTGCAAAGGTACTTGACCACACCACCAGGTGCAGGCGTCATCGTCTTGCATGGGCCAGGGAGCATTTACGCTAGATGAGGAACGAGTGGCCCTCAGTGCATTTCTCTGATGAAAGTTGATTCAACGTTGAGTAGAAATGATGGGCACCAACCATGTTGGAGACGGCAAGAAGAGCTCTATGCATCAGCTACTGTTGTCACCAGATGAGCTTTTGGTGACGGCAGTGTGGGCAGGTGTGTCCAGTTGGTACAGAACTGGCCTACACTTTGTGAATGGTAGAGTAACAAGCCCATACTACCCGAATAACATTATTAATCCAGTGATTGTGCCCCGACATGAACACCACAGGCCGAATTTCACCGTCATGGACAACAATGCTCCTGCTCAGCACGGTCACATCATCAGGGAACAGCTGTTGGACACTGGTGTACCTCCAATGCAATGGCCTTCACTTTCTCCAGACCTGAGTCCTATTGAAAACCTGTGAGATCAGCTGAGTCAGCATGTAGAGGCTCGAAACTCCGCACCCCAGAACCTCAATGACCCAAGGGTTGCCCTTCAATTAGAGTGGGATGCCATGCCTCAGCAGACAATAAGTCGCCTTGCGAAAAGCATGAGACATCATTGTCACGCTGTAATTGATGCTGAATGGCAATGCCGAGTTATTGAGACAGTGAATTTTTTTGCTGTGGTACACCCACCATTGTTGTTAACTTTTGTTTCAATGAATTGTTTGAGATGAGGAAATCATCAGTGCACCCTTCTGATGGAATGTCCTCCTTTTATATTATGATATCACTGTCGTTTTTACATCTTCCATAAATTTCACCTGGAATCCAAATATCCCTAACTTTTTGTGAGTAGTGCATGCATTTATATAAACCTATCATGACGAATAATGAATATACAGCATTATATAAAATATTACATTAAAAATTATGAAATTTCAGTATTTTGAACTTGGATGGCTGGATTTACCCACTTTTAACAGCAATTCTATTTCATCAAAATCAATTTGAGTTCTGCCAATTTACATCTTTATTTTCAACACTGTGCATACATTACAGAAGTATGCTGTCATAATGATCCCAAATTTGATTGCAAAACAAAATGTAGGGATTTTCAAGCATAAAGAAAGGTTTCAACGACATTGTGTTGTCAACAGCTGGTGGTTCAGTATGATTAAGTTGAACATATTTCCTGGCCAGAGCAACTACAAGCAGACAGCGAATCAGTTCCAAATTATTGGTCATAGCCTTGGCGCTCATGTTGCTGGAGAAGTTGGGAGCAAAATCAGCGGCCTTGCACGCATCACAGGTAAACCCAACGCACACACAACACCATTCTGACCTTCTTTTTTTTAGATCTATACATGCACCTACGTGCTCTGCATTTTGTTCATCTAAAAGGCAGTCCTTGTCCATGTTACAATTATTTGGTAATACCAACATTTGTGATGAAGAGAAGCAGCAGAGCAATGCCAGCGTGCGTCATGATCCGCTTTTTTTTTTTTTTTTTGGTCACTCTGCAGGACTGGACCCAACTGAGCCGTACTTCCATGACACAGATGCAGCAGTGCGCCTGGATACAACTGATGCCACCTTTGTAGATGTCATTCACACTGACGGACATCCTTTCAGCACAAAACTTGGTACCGAAATCGTTGATAGAAATGATTAAAGTGGACATTGGATTTATGGATTGGATAAATATGAATCTATTTACTCGCACAATGTGTTTACTTAATTTAGTGACGTCTTCTTCTTCTTCTTCTCCTTTCGGCACGTCCCTATTCAGGGGTCGCCACAGCGAGTCAGCAATTTCCATCCGCCCCTGTAAACCGTCCTACCAACTCGCATGGTCGTCTTGGCAAAAGTTTTACGCCGGATGCCATTCCTGACGCAACCCTCCCCATTTCTCCGGGCTTGGGACCGGCACTGGGGAACAGTGCACCCCCAGGGGAGGGCACTGCCCCCCAGCGGCTGGGTTACTTAATTTAGTGACGTCATTCTGGCTTTTTGCGCAAGTTCAAGCAAGTGACGTCTTCTTCTTCTTCTTCTCCTTTCGGCACGTCCCTATTCAGGGGTCGCCACAGCGAGTCAGCAATTTCCATCCGCCCCTGTAAACCGTCCTACCAACTCGCATGGTCGTCTTGGCAAAAGTTTTACGCCGGATGCCATTCCTGACGCAACCCTCCCCATTTCTCCGGGCTTGGGACCGGCACTGGGGAACAGTGCACCCCCAGGGGAGGGCACTGCCCCCCAGCGGCTGGGTTACTTAATTTAGTGACGTCATTCTGGCTTTTTGCGCAAGTTCAAGCAGACTTTATATTGAATAAGAACTATACTCATAACACAGTATTCATACCTTAAAGAGTCCTAACTTCTGCCTCAACCAATAGGTTTGCGAGAGACACAGTTGGTAGAGATGAGGATGTGTTGTGATAGAAATCTGCACATTGCGATCGGATTACCCAGTGTGATGGATATTATTGTTAATGGGATGTAACACTTTAACAGTAAAGTCAGACAAGTTTAAATTTCCCTCCTAATCTTTAGAATGGTTTCACAGGGACTCTCAAGCTGAAGGTTCATCCTCCTAACTGTTTTTGGAGACTCAGAAAAGCACAGACAGATGATCTGACTTCTAACATCGCTTCTTGTGATTTTTGTTTTTGTGGAGAGTGTTTAGAGACTTCTTGTAGCCACAGCCTGAAAAATGACAGTTTTAAAAAAATGATAGGAGTGATTTGATTTGAAATTGTTTTCCTTGACTTCTGTTGTGTGTGGGATTTACTGCTCACGTCTTGATCCAAAGAAAAATTTGATTATTTTTCAATAAACAAAACATATACAAAAAGATTGATCTTGGTTTTTTTTTTTCAAACGTGCAGGTCTTGGGATGTCCCAACCCATTGGCCATATTGACTTCTACCCCAACGGAGGAGAGCTGATGCCTGGTTGCAAAGCAAACAAAGGCAATCCAACAGACCTGGATGCTATCTGGGAGGGTAAGTTGAACTGACATGCAAAACACACAAATATTCGTAGGAGCTGGGAGCTTAATGGGCTGACTTGGAAGAAAATGATGAGTTTGTCTTTTCTTTTTATTTTCTGTTTTTAAGCCAACAAATCATGTTCAATACTGTTACGTGCAGCTAATTCAACGGGTCCACAAAAGTACAACATTGAAGTTGTGACTTAAGACTCACAACATCAATTAATTATCGTTGTTGCAACGAGATGAGAAAATATAAAAAAAGGGGGCGAGGGGTCTTATGTTTTGTGCTGAGTCAGTACCTTGGGCTGGGTGTGTCGTGTGTATCGTCTTATTCTTTGTCAGCCCCAATTCCTCACGTGTCCTAGGTACAACTGCCTCTCAATTAGTGCATCCAAATGAGTTCCTCACCAGAACCATCATCGATCCATTTCATTCGTGGCCACTATTCAATCATATGGTCAGGAACTTCGTCATACTTTGCTTTGGTTCATTCATTTCCAGTATTTGGGCTGTACCAAGGCAGTGGGAATTTGGGAGTGTTTACTCCAATCGCGCCATATTGTGTCGTGTGAACCCCGCGATAGTACTCGCTTGTCCCCCACCCCCGTGTTAGTACTTGCTTTTCATCCCTGTGATAGTACTCGCTTGTCCCCCTCGTGATAGTACTCGCTTGTCACCCTCGTGATAATACTCGCGTTTTCATCCCGTGATAGTACTTGCTTGTCCTCCTTGTGTTAATCCTCGCTTGTCCTCCCGTTATAGCACTTGCTCGTCTCCCCGAGTGATTGTACCATATTTTCTGCACTATCAGGCGCTTGGATTCAAGGTGCACCTTCAATGAATGGCCTATTTTAAAACTGTTCATATATAGGGCGCACTGCAGTGTAAAGCGCATAGAATAGAAGCTACAATAGTGGCTGCGGTTGCGCTATGCATCCACTAGATGAAGGTATGCTAAAGGGAATACAATACAATCCAACACAATATCGCTTACTTTATATTGAGCCTTCACAACCGCTGTAGCTGTAACAAAGCCATGAGAGCTAGTCACAAACAGACATGAAACATATAAATACAAATGGCATGGCAAAACGACAAAGACAAAAAATCCAAAGACAATTGATTCAACAAAAAGGTACACAAACATCGTGGGCTCACATACACAGGGGGCTAAATATCCTTCGAAGTCTTACTTGTCTCCTTATTCCTTCATTAAGTCAGTAGTTAATGATGCTTTTGGGGTTATCTTCGTTTCATCATGTGAAGATTGCACGACTGTCTGTGTCCTATGTGTTGTGTTGTGTTATTTTTGTTATTTTGACTTCAAAATGGCGCCGCGAGAGTGGCTGCCTTTCCAGCAGCTCCTATATTTTGTTGTTCTACTTTCTCTTTCATAACTTTGCTGCTGTGAATTGGGAATTTCTCCATTGCGAGACTAATAAAGGCTTTCTTATCTTATCTTATCTTATGGCTGCGCAGAGCTCACAAAGTAGTTACCTGTCTGAGTGTGTGTTGGCGAATGCACATGACAATTAGTGTCAGGCAGAACCCTTTAAGGTTCCAATTGGTTCCTGCTAATAATCCCCACTACATGGCATAAGAACACTAACAGGGAATCAACTCAATGGGGAATATGAAGAGGCTGTGACACCATATACTGCATACATCGGATCAGATTATAGGGCGCACTGTCGGCTTTTGGGAAAATAGAATGCTTTTAAGTGCGCCTTGTAGTGCGGAAAATATGGTACTCGCTTGTCCAACCCAACCCCCCAACCCACCTCACCCCCACCCCGCTGATAGTACTCGCTAGATAGTCCAGATCGTAGTAGTGGACCACTATTTGCTCCTTCTCAACTCCCACACTTGTGCTAGACTGTTCCTCAGTTGCCATCATGAGGAAGGGTCGTAACCCTGTCCCTCAGCTCCATCAATAGGCTTGACCTTTTCAGACTAGGATTTGGAATTTGCAATTGGTCATCATGTGCAGTCTTCAAACACTGTGAAAACCAAGAAGAAATAAACCAACTTACTCACTTACTGTTTTGCCCTCGTGGCGCTCTAATATATCCTTTTCTTTGCCAGGTACGAAAAGGTTTGATGCCTGCAATCATATCCGTGCCTACCAGTACTACGAGGAGAGTATGGTTAAACCTCAAGGCTTTGTTGGGTTCCCTTGCTCCGATGCAGCCACTTTCGCAGCTGTAAGTATTTCTACTCAAACTGACCCATTAACGGATAATGCTTACCGACTGTTTACAGGGGGTTCGCTGTTTATGGCACAGTTAGATTTTTAAAGCAGCAACCTAACCTGACCCAAATGTGTACAGACAGTAAATCGGTGCACGCTTTGGTGCAGTAGTAAAATCATACCTACAGGAAATATCGGCATAAAAACGTGTAGATTATAAATGTAAAGCAAACAAATGAAAAGCAGTCAGTACAGTCGTAACTGAGTGTGTTTTGTGTCACAAGCTGAGATATTCTTATGCCGCAAAATGCCCTAGCGAGGGATTGTCATAAACCGAGCATGCCCGATACATTGTATTTTTTGTCATATCAAATGAGCAACAAAATAATGAATATATTTATTTAGTGCTTCTTCATCAATGACCACAAACTCTTCCACATATACCGTATATTACAATCATCAAGTTCTTGGAGCACATGAATTGTTCTTGTAAAAATTCATTTTCTGTTTAGTACGGTATTTGCAAATGTGTGTAAAATATCTGCAAGCATCTACTTTTCTCCAACCACAGACAGTGAGGACTGTATTGTTATTTTTGCTTTCATTCCTCGTAACTTGAACTTTAAATATAGAAACATTAAAGTAATTATTAGGTATTGGAATATAGGGTGATATCAGCTGCAGATGAGGATTTTTTTTTTTTTTTACACTGGCCAAAAGTAATTGGTCACCTTATCATTACACCTAAAACAAATCAAAATAGAGGAAAGTTGAATAGGTTTGTGCTGTGATAGCGACTGCACTGGGGCACAGCCATGCTGGAACTGAAAGAGTCCACTCAGCAAACAATTGTCCAAAATGTCTTGGTATTCTTTTGGAGGAAGCAAGATGTGGAAATTAAATGCATCTCCATACTTGGATTCATTCTGTGTCATTTTGGCTGCCCGTGTAAAAAGTGTGTCCGAGCTTTGAGAAAGAATTGGAGAAGAGTGGAAGGGTGGTATGTCCATCGCAGCGTGTTTATGGAGCCACCACCTGTTGCGGCAATGTGACACCGATACGGCTGTGAACAATTTATTTGCTTTTAGAAGTTGATTCGGCGAGGTTGGATTTTTGTTGCAGCAGAGGGGAGATATAAACAGGCTTCCTTTGTGTCTTCCATTGGGACAACTTGTATCTGCAGCTGTTGGTGATAATGGCACTTTATCCTGCCTTTGATCAAAGCCAGCATTGTGTATGCTCCATGTTATTCCTCGAAGCTGGGAGATGCTGGGCAAAACAAATCCATTGGGTTCCCACACAGTTACTGTACATGCAATGCATGGAGAAAATAAATTGATGACTTTGTCAGTAAGTGTTTGCAAAGAACATTCTTGTACAGCATACCAATACAGAAAGGCCCTTTTCTGCTACAGCAGGGCTGCACCATATCCGTAAAGACGTTAATCGATGACTAACCCTACCTTTTAACTCACCTCGCCATGTTCTTATCAAGTCAGCACTGAGTGTAAATGCTTTTAAATCCAGGTTAAAAATGATACTCCCCCTACCCCCAGAGCTGTGATTAAGGGGTTATAAAGCACTTTTGGTCATTTTTGGAAACTATCGTATTTTCTGCACTATAAGGGTCTTCAGTTCATAAGGCGCACCTTCAATGAATGGCCTATTTTAAAACTGTTTTCATACATAGGGTGCACTGCATTTCCAGGTGCATAGAAGCTCCAATAGTGGCTGCAGTTGCACTATGTACCCACTAGACGGTGCTACTCTAAAGAGAATACAATACAATACAATACAATCCAGCTTTATTTATATAGAGCAGGGGTCTCCAAAGTTGGTCCTCAAGTCCGCTGTCCTGCCTTTTTTCCATCTCTCCCAGGAGTAACACACCTGATTCAAGTAATCAGGATCGTTCTAATGCTGCCTCAGAGCCGGCTGATGAGTTATACAATACATGCTCATTTATATAACGCTTTCACAACAGCGGCAGCTGTAACAAAGCGCTTAACAAAACAGTTAACATAAAGTAAAATAATAAACACATCATCAGGTGTGTTGCAAATGGGATGGCTAGAAAACAGGCAGGACAGTGGCCCTCCAGGCCCGGAGCTGGACATGCCTGATATAGAGCCTTCACAACTGCTGCAGCTGTAACAAATGAGAACTGATCCCAAACACGGTCATGAAACATATAAATACAAATGGCATTACAAAACAATAGATGAAAGGCAAAAGTTATGAAGACAAAAAAAGCACACAGATCTCGTCGGCTCACATCCACAAAGGGCTAAATACTATCTTTAGAAGTCTTGCTTGTCTCCTCCTTCCTTTGTTTAGTCAGTAGTTAACTATGCTTCTGGTATTATCTTCATTTCGTAATAGTTGCGCAGAGCACACAAAGCAGTTGTCTGAGTGTGTTTTTGGCGAACGCACATGTCAATTCGTGTCAGGCAGAAACCTTTTAGGTTATAATTGCTTCCTGCTAATAATCACCACTAGATGGCATAGGAACACAAACAGGGAAACAACTCAATGGGGAATGTAAAGAGACTGTGTAACACCATATATAAGGCGCATCGGATTATAGGGCGCGTTGTCGGATTTTGAGAAAAATGAATACTTTAAGGTGTGCCTTATAGTGCGGAAAAAACGTTACTTTTTATTTCTAGTCTTTGCTTTGAAATGTCTTCAACACTTTTTTTTGCAAAGGCTTTTAAATGTATTTTTGATTATGTGAAGCACATTGAAATCTCTTGTGTCTGAAATGTGCTCAATAAATAAAGCTGCCTTGCCTTATCTTTCCAGGGAAAATGTTTCCCGTGCGCTGATGACAAATGTCCTCTGATGGGCCTTTACGCGGACAGGTTCCCCTTGACTAATATGACCTCACAGACAAAGTACTTCCTCAACACTGGCAATGCTAAACCCTTTGCACGTAAGTACCTTGGTGAACCCAGAATATATGACCATTGTAAAAAACAGTGATATTATCAAAACCTGGCGATGAGCATCCGCACTCAAATGAGAATACAAAATATTTGGTCCACAATAGCGATGCCTCAAATAGAGCAGTTTATTTCAAACTGCTTCAACAGACAACCACAACAATGAACTTTTTAATACCATTGTTAAGGTGTCAGATATGCACTGATTGTTATTGTCGCTGTAAAGGAAATTATATCAGGATCATTTTGTTTTCATATATACTATAACAGGTATGTGTCGAACCCAAGTGCAGTACACCAAACCATGGTTGGCAGCTTAACGTTTTTTTATGTCCGCTTTGACAGTTCCAGAGGCCAATAGCTTACTAGCTAAGCATTTCAATTTTAAGTTTAAATGACTTCAAGTAAGAATCTCAAAGCTCAAGAATCCATAGGTAGCAAGACAGGGATATTGACGATGTGATATTTTTACAGCAGAAGTTAGTCACACTGAAAACGAAAAGTGCAAAAACAGAAGTTGTGGTTTTTTTTTTTTGCCAGAATGTGAAAGATGAGCATGAAATTTTCAATCCGATGCACAATGTTAGTATCACGGTGGTTGACTTGTGGGTTCGAATCCGTGCTCCGGCCTTCCTGTGCGGAGTTTGCATGTTCTTCCACTGCCTGCATGGATTTTTCTCTGGGTACTCCGATTTCCTCCCACATTCCAATAACACGCACTGAAGGTTGATTGATCACTCTTACTTGTCCTTAGATGTGATTGTGAGTGTGAATGCGTTTTCATCTGTGTGTGTCCTGTGATTGGTTGGCAACCAATTCAGGGTGTACCAAGTCAGCTGGGCTTGGCTCCAGCACGCCCGCGACCCTTGTGAGGATAAAGCGGTTGGTTCAGATAATGGATGGATGCACAATGTTACTTAATTGATCAGTGACTGACAACCATTTGACAGCCACAGCAGTTATGGGAAATCACTTTAAGGTGCTACGTTGTTTATTGGTTGCGCCAATGTTTTTTCATGACAAATGTTCTTTAAACATACCTTATTAGAAAGGTGTCATAAAAATTGTCAATAGCATTGAGAAAAAGTACAAATTTCACATTGACTTTGAAATGTTGAGATCATCTGAACACTTGTTTTTCAATTAATTTGTTCCTAGGTTACAGCTACAATCTGAAGCTAACTTTGGATGGTCCCAGCTGGTCTAACCCAGGCTTCATGTATGTGGCTCTCGCTGGACAAAGCGACAGCACAAAGGAATACCAACTTCACGTGTAAGGCATTTCAGAAAATTATGACCACTCTAATGGGTTTTGTTTCAGGAAATCACAGACTGTCCCAGATTTCCTCCGGTCTGTGCTTTAAAAAGTAGGATTTTAAAATGGACCAAGGATTTCATTAATTCAGTTGGCTTGTATCCAATTGCGTTGCTTTGAGCCAAGCCTTCTTTCAGGTCGTCTTGACTGTCAATACGCGACAATGCCATTGGCCAGTCTACAGTCTGGAAGAAGATCTCTGAAAACATTCAAAGCAATAAATCGATCAATCACTCAAACAAGATACTTTAGATACATTACCATTTGATGAGGGACTTGCCCAAAGGACATGAATCGTGACTAATACCAAACAAACACGGGATTTATTATTATTATTTTTAAAACTGAGATGGAACATGATCCATTCACAACACTGGTCAACTTCAGATTTGTTTGTATTTTGAAACTAATTAAAATGGAAAAAAAAACAATTAGTTCTCAACTCAACTCAACTGTATTTATAGAGCACTTTCAAACAGCCATTGCTGCATACAAAGTGCTGTACATGGAGCAAATAACATATCTACAACAATAAAGCAATAATCAGTAACAAAGATGGTCATAGGCACCAAACAGTAAAACTAAGATCAAATCTGAGTCAGTTGTTGATTCTAAATTTAATCTTTCACCATCTTTAATCTTTTGTACCTGCACGAGTAATGTCTGAAGTACTATCGGTAATTGTCACCAGTCACACAAGTGTGAAGAACCTATGCAGTTTAAAAGATAAAAAAACAACACAGCACTCAATTTTAACAAGTATTAAGACACCACTGGACTCTTCCTGGAGTTTTATAACAGTTTATATTGTTCTCTGCATGTTGTTCTTCTCTTCACAGTCCGTGTTAAAGCTGGTCATTGTTTGAAATGTTTCCAAAAAAAGACAAAGAACAAGCTAAATGTGCCAAATAATACTTTACGTTCATATGCTGTAAGTTATGTAGAGAAAAAAAATGCAAAATGCAAATGTTGGTGCGGCTATATAAAAGATTAAAATGACAGATTTGTATGATTTCAGGGGCTTCAGAGGTTCTACGGTCAAGACTTCACAACCAGAGGGGAAGCTAGAGAGCAATAATTTTTTTTTTTTTAAATAAAAAATAAAATAAAATAATTTTTTTGTATAAACCCATTTGAACTGGTCGCTAGGTGTACAGTGCAGGAGATTACAAAGGACAGTTGAACCATTTGTCACCACAATTTGAATCATAATATCTCCCTCCTCATTATGGCTGCCTCTTGAAAATTTCTGGGCAATATCATTTTTGTATGCCACTTGCCATAAGTAGGGTGAGCTGAAGCTTTTCCCAGCTGACTTTGGGGGGAAGCAAAGGTCAGAAGAATTGTAGCAAGAAAAAAAAGACCCAGACAAAATTTAATATCGAGCATCAAAACAAAGTCCAATATTTTCTCAAATCCGTGCCCTTTGTTTTCAGGGGCACTATGAAGCCAGGAAAGGTCTACGAAGTGCATATTGACGCCGAGGTTGACGTAAGTCCCGTAAAGGAAGTCAAATTTCGGTGGAACAACCACATCCTCAACCCCTTGAATCCAAAATATGGGGCGTCGAAAGTGGAGCTGCTGAGGGCAAAAGACAAGAAAGTGTAAGCAAAACAAATGTGATTACTTGAAGAGAAAACATCCCCACATTAGCATATCACTTTACTTTCCCACGTGTGTGCCCACATCGTCACTTTTTCTTTCCACATCGCCACTTTTACTTTAAACCTACAAAACAAATCAGATGATTGGAATCGACACGTTTTTGGCAGTTGAACTGCTTTCTCCAAGTAAATATGCTGAAGTACTCTGCTTTGCCACGAGATGGCAGCATTGGACTGCCATCAAAGGAGTGCACACGTATGTTGGAGGAAACAGGCACAAACCTCCTTGAATATCTTTATTTAGTCAATTAAATGTATGTGTTTTGGCATGTCAGTGCTCCCCTAATGTGAATATTTCTCTTCATTTTAAAGAATAAGGTTAAATACACTTACAATTACGACGTCAATGTCAATTTGAGCCTTTTAACATTGTATGTTAATCTCTATTTTTGCTCTGTTTCAGCACTCTCTTCTGTGGAACACAAAACGTCGCAGAGAACGTAATTCAATCTGTGCTTCCATGCCAAGCGTAATCACAATTTACGCAAGTGGCCTTTCAATAAATATCATGAATTCAGTTTATTTCCATTTTCTTCACTCATTCACCATATACAAATTAATGTGGATGCCTGACAACATGAGATCTTACGTATAAATCTCATAATTTTCAGTTTACACTGCACTGTATGTTTAATACTTCACACCACATACAGGACCAGATTGTTCATACGCAGGCATGCAAGGAGACATTCAGAATGAAAGAGCCATGGGGCGGGGCAGTGCCTTGCTCAAGGGCACCTCAACAATAACCAGCAAGCAGCTCAAAGAGGAAATTGAACGTGGGCCCTCTGACTCCACAACACACGGCCTTACAGATGAGCGACTGCTGCCTGCAGATACAGCAGACGAAACCAAACCTTGTTCAAAATTGTAGCAATTGTATCCCACTGGTGGAATAAAAATTGGGCACATGGGTGAATCCTGCAAAAGATTTAAAACAACAGATTTCTCCTGCTACTTTCCGTACTTCTGTTCTTAATCATAGCACAACCTAAATGGGAACAGGACATTAGTCTGTAATGACTTGCCATAGATTTACAAACTCTTCTGAGATTTATCGGATTGCTTTCAAATTTCAACCAGGAATATAAAACGGGTAGAAAGTTCTTTTAGATATACTGTAATGACACATTGCCAACACTTTCTACATGAGTTCTGCATTTCACAAGGAGTCCATGCAGGGAAGCTCAAAAGGTCACCCTGCTTCAAGTCAGTACACGGCAGCCATTTTGAACAATTTGAGCTTTCCTGCCATTTGATTAGACAATAACAATGGGCTACAGCCTAAAGGTCACAAAAAGATAATTTTCTTGATGTTGTACAGGTGGTGCGGGGTGAGGAAGCACTTATGGATGTCTGACTTTGCAGCTTCCACAGTGCACTTTTTTTTTTTTTTTTTAATCCCCAAGAGTGTCAGATTTATGGAAAGTTGCGGACAGAATAGAATTGGACTCCAGAAACATGAACTTGGAAAGAATGAACAAACAAATTGGGGCCCCCGGTCTGAGACTTTGTCCAACAGGATCCCATGGATATGGAAAACGTGGTTAAATGAGCAAGATTGGCAGTTTTTAAGACAGAAGGAAACTTGGAAAGAGCGAGAAAATGAGTGCAGAAACGGTCAACAATGGTAAGTATGACGGACTTGCCTTGTGAGGACGGAAGACCAGTCATGAAGCCCATTGAGATGTGGGACCATTGTCGAGGTGGAGGTGAGAACGGCTTGGAGTGAATTGAGTCTTTTAGCTGTTCGGGTGTAGGCAAAGTTCTTATAGTCTGTGTAAATAGTGAACGGTTCCTTGGTTCCCTCTAGCCAGTGTCTCCATTCCTGGAGTGCCATTATTGTTAGGGTTTGGATGTGACCCCAATAGCACGACAACAGGCAGGTATCGTTAAAGCCAACACTTGGCGTAGATTATTGAAGAGTATTCGCAAAGTCACTCAAGGTAAAGCACAAGGAGTCCACAAGGGAATGTCCATTGTCCACACAAGGAACTAAAGCTGCAGGAGATGGCAACAGAGTCCACTAGCATGGTGACGGCACGAACTTGCACTGAGGAACGATCTGTGAGTCAATTTGTACCAGTCCAAACGAGCAGATAAGCAACAGGTGGGTGATGAGCTGACGAGTCTCAGGTGTGAGGTGCAGAGCACCCTGGCTGAGGAGGCTGCCTGGCTGGCCCCTCCCTAACAATTATGATCTCAAACTGTTCTTTATTACCCACGGAATGTGCTGGGGTCAGTCTTCGAGAGAAGAAAGCGCAGGGATGGAGTTTCTGGTTAACCGGGAAGCGGTGGGACAACACCACCCGACCTCCTGAATTCGAAGCATCCACTTCTAAAACAAAGTGAATTTCAGTGTTGGGATGATGTAAAACTGGCGGTTGGCAAATGATTTCTTTAAATTCTGAAATGCTGTGTCAGCACTAGAGTTCCAAGAGAACGGGATTTTAAATGATAATGCTTTCTGATTGTAATTCTTGATAAATCTACGATAGAAATTGGCCAATCCTAGGAATTGTTGAAGCTGCATTCTGTTAGTGGTAGGAAGCCACTCCACCACCGCCTGAATCTTGGACTGATCATGTCTGAGTTGTCCCGCTTCGACGATGCATCCGAGAAACTGAGCTGATTTGACATGAAATTCACATTTCTCCGCAATTACAATTTCACGTTCGCCGAATAAATCGCAGACTTGTGTGCGGGCAGTGTGGGATCGGTACGGAGCCCCAGACATGACATTTGGGGGGGAAAACAAAACAAAAAAAAAGGCTGTGCGCAAAAACCACATAAATATGCAGAATATTTACTATTTTGTGCGTGCACAGCCTTATTATTTTGTGTGAACGAATTATGACTTTGTGGGCACAAAATATTTACAGCGTGCACATGACGTAGCTCTGATTCCTTTTTGGACAAAAGGGTAAACAAATCGAGTGCACCTTCAAAGACTCCCTTCTCACTGACCTAATCAGTGCCTTCGAAGACCCAGAAATTATTGCATTTGACGCTTTTATTTTCTACCAAGTTAAGTAGTGATATTTTGAGAAAATGTTTTCATTTCGTATACATCCACTGGTAACCATGATCACTCCCAGAGCGTTGCAGTTGCTGAACAATAAAATCGATCGCAGCGTCCAAATCGTACCTCCGCAATCTGGCTGTCAACAGCCTATTCAAATGACTCTTGCATACATGGCAATTTTCCGCGGATCCGCGGAAATCCGCCGTTTTATTTCTTAAATTGATCATTTTTGTGAATCGTCTAAATCCGTTGAGAAAATTTTAGGGGCGGTCAGGTACCTTATCGTCGAGTTTTCACGAGCTCTCCCGAACAGTCTCTCCGTTTTCCGTTTGTAAACAGCCCTGCGATTGGACGTGTATGAAAGCTTCAACTAATCAGATCACTGAAGGCATTATTTGTTGCGGAAGTCTTAGCTCGATTATAAACGGCCCAGCGATTGGTTAACTACAAGCGATTGGACCAATCAAATTGCATGTAACATATTGCTTTACCTGATTCATGGCGGCCTGTTCGTCTCGCAAATTCATTGTTCTGGGATCGTTTTGAGCGGAATTATGAAATTTTTGACGAAAGATCAGGAGTCTTTAATCCTAGAAATTGACTCAAATGTCAAGAATAAATTCCGATTGGACTGGCTTGACAGAAAAGTCACTGTAAAG